AAAAACGGAATTTGGGAAAAAAATTAAACAGATTTCATAGGGCCTTTCCTGGTATGCCGTCTAATAAACATCCAAGATGGTCATTAAAGTTGAAGGAATTGTTGAATAGAAATATATCTCATTTAGATTTGAAAACTAGTAATACAAAAATTTATCTCATTACAGATGCACTTTTTTCAACGCTGTATTTGTGTTGACTATGTAAATGTTCCACTTGTCAGAGTATCATTTTGTTAGCATTGCATCTTGTCTTTTATTGCTTCTAGGTAGACTCTAGTCTGATATTGTCTAAAGGAAGCTGTTGGCTCATGTGTCCAGATGGATCCAAGATAGACGTGGATCTGTTGGTATTGGAGTACAGGGATCTTTAGACAGTTGGTCTTGTTTCCACAGGTGGCCCTCTGTCTTGCAAGAGAGTAAGGGATGGAATGAGAGAGTTTGGGGGTTGAAAGTCAAGGGAGAGAACGAGAGAAGAGTGAGATAAGAGTAACATTTAGTTTTTGGCATGCACAGTCTCCGCTCCGTATTTACTCTGGTTTCGCCAGGTCTGACCATATGCCAAGCCTTAGAGCTGAAGCAAGCTTTGTGCATTTAGAGACACCGTGCATACTTGAATTCCTACGTACATTTCCCCTCCCAGTAGAACATTCCAGACTTTAAACACTAGTGTTTTCTTTGAGGGCATCAGGAACTGGATTTGCTGCATGGCTCGGCAAAAATCATTGAATACACGTGGTGAATATCCTGTCGAAGTGTTATGTTTAGGTTATGTGGTGGACAGAATAGCTGTGCTGTCTTGCTTATGATTTATTAAAGCTGCTTGTTTGGGCAAAGATTTGAACAGACCCCTAACCTTCCATATAGGTATTAACATTTAATGTCACTTCGTTTGTTTAAGGAGAAGTGTGCTACTGCTTTGCTAAGCCACCACTCCCATCCCAGCATCATGGTGATGTAGTGTGAGATTGAGCTCATGGTCTCGTGTGTGAAAGCTTCACCTGTGTCTTAAGTGGAAACACACACTGGTGTGAGTGAGGTCTGAGCCAGCAGATGATCAGTCAGAAGGGCTGCTAAAACAAACAGATGTTTAGGAGATGCTGACAAATGTGCTAAAAGGAACTGGAACTACTATGTGTAGTACATAGTAAGTACTTTTCTTACTTTCACTTTTTCACTCTTTTTTTTGTTCCTTAGCTAATTTTTACTTTCACACTCTTTATTTTTAATCTTTCTTTTTTTTCTTTCTTTCTTTCTTTCATGTCTATCCACACATAGCTTACATGATGGATTTATTGTTCCGCTTTAACACAAATAATCACTCACACTCACACACACACACACACACACACACACACCATTGTGACAGCTGTCAATCAAAGCCCTGACCTCAAAACACAACCTTTGCTCGTGGATATATTAAATCAAACTATGCAAACAGAGCAATGGTAATGTGATTAATCAGAGAGTATTGTGCTTGTGAATTCTGGGCCTGTGTCAGGCAGATAAACCGGTAATTCTTCATTGGATTTGTTTTGATAAATTACTAAAATTAGAATTTATTTTTAATGGTTATCTCTACTGGGTGATTCCTGACTTGACACACTAAAGAGACGTGTGTGTTCTTTGTCCTCTGTGACCTGTGTGCAACACCAGGTTAACGGCTGTCTGTTAACTGTTTTACGCCCTCCATAAATTTTCATATCCTAAATTTTATAATATTTACACAAAAATGTTAATATAGTATCTTTTTTATATAATTTCTTACATATTCTTTAAAAGAAAGGCAGGGCTTCTATAGTAGCAATCCCAGTGTGTATATATTTTGTTTAATTTATTGATAACTTCCTTTTGCTTTGGAAACGAGGTGAAGTGTTTGTTCAGACCTCACTATGTTTGTGTGTCTCTAAGATAAGACTGGAAAAATCTGAAGACATAATTACAGATTCGGTTGCCATGTTTTGTGCCTGTAATAACAAATGGTCTATTACCTCATAAGGTGAAATAGATTGAGTATTCTTTGTTGTGAACTGTGGCCAAAACTATTATGTTATTGTCAAGTTGCCATGTTTTTATGATATGTATTTAAGCAATTATGGAAATGGAATGAAACTGGGAGTGGAGCGCTCTTTCTCTCTGTGTAAATCTTTCTAAAACAAACAATGTCGTAGCAATAAATGGCTTGTCTGTTTTCGCTGATTGACCTAAATTTTCTCTCTCATTCTGCAGATCTGAGGTCTACAGGTACAGCCCATCACTTCTCTTTCCTGTTGAACACATCAGACTATCGCATCTTGCGCATGGATGAGGATCATGACCGCATGTATGTGGGCAGCAAAGACTACATACTGTCCCTGGACCTCCACGACATCAACCGAGAACCCCTCATAGTAAGAACCAACACAAATCACTCCATCTGCCTTCCTCCAACATAGATGGATAGATAGGTGCATAGATTTATTTATTTTGTTTTGTATTTCATTTCATTTTGTATTTTTAAATTGTTTATGACTTATGAATTTATCATTTATAAATATATTTGTTTTGTTTATTAAATTTTGTATATTTATTTATTTATTTATTATTTTGTATAATATATGAAGAGTTCATTTGCAAAAACCGATAACTCAGAAATCATGTTTTTTTTATTGTGCATTCCAAGTAATATCAATCAAACTGCAGTTGGGTTGTTTTGATTAAGTAATAATAACTTAAACAAATACAGGTAATTTACTAAATTAAAGTTAATTGAAAGTATGTTTTTTTTATAGCAAAAGCAGATAACTCCAACAGTCGTTTTTTGGCAAAAGCAGATAACTCCACATTTCATGTTTTAGAGTTTAAAAAGACACTAATTTAATCTTTGTAATCTCCTCAAATGACAATGTAGATGCCTGACAAACGTTGTTGTTGTTGTCATCATAAATTGTATGGATTATGATGATTACACGCAATACACAGAGCTTTTCCCTCACTATTGTAATGCGCTGCTTTTGCAAGGTTCCGTGAAAACGTTTCTGCTTTTATTTTATTTTTTCGCCCTGAAGAAGATATCACAGGTTCATCAAGTTCGTCAAAAGTATCCATCCTCGATCACTTTTAGTCAGCTTTGACGAAACTACGGTGGCCGAGAAGTGCAGAACAAATCACAATTCTGAAAACAAAATAACAAATTACAAATGCAAATGCAAGTCTAAAAAACTAAATAATTCAGAAAACACAACAACAATTCAGGAAACATTATAACCACCGAATTTTTGACGCGATCAACCCGGGTTCAAGCCCGCCTTTTGCCAAGCTTTTTTTCCCTCCCTTTTCAAACCTCGTATTAGCAATGGATTCTATTTACACTAAGTGAAAATAGCAGTATTTTTAGCAATATGCTATTTACACTAAGTGCAAATACCTAGTTACGCTATGTTAAAATAGCAGGATTTCTACTATCAAGTATACTACTTGTTGCAAATAGTGGCAATTATCTGCACTTCAGTATTGTAGTACATTATAAAACAGTATGCAATAATAACGTATTGAGTGTAAATTATAATTTAAATTTAAATTATTAAATGGATGCCACCTTATTGGTACAATAAAGCCCTCCCTACACCTACCCTAACCCTACCCGATACTTTATTTTCAACTTTTTGATTATTTCCTTAATTTTTATTGAAAATAAATGCCTTTACGATGTGATACGAGATTTGAAAAGGGAGGGAAAAAAAGTTCGGCAAAAGGCAGGATCGAACCCGGGTCGATCGTGTCAAAAAGCCAACGACACGCACTTATCCATCTGCACCACTGGAGCTGATGTTTCACAGCCACTTTTAACTAAATATAAATATACACTCCGTATTTTTTATTCCACAGTGAGGGCAATTCATACAATACATTTAAACTGAGCTACTTTAATACCATCTCCGAACTTTCTACCACGACTCTGCTGTTCTTCGGCTGGTTCTTCCTGTATACGTTGATTGACAGACGTCTCGTCCAGTCAGCAGTGAGTAATCCCAAACCAATGGCACTGTCTCAAACTATACCTACCTTTTCCGGTTTGTCTGATTTGTCGTTGTGTTTTCTGACTTGTTAATTTGTTTTCGGATTTGTCGTTGTGTTTTCTGACTTGTTATTTTGTTTTCGAATTTGTCATTGTGTTTTCTGACTTGTTATTTTTTCTGAATTGTTGTTGTGTTTTCTGAATTGTTATTTAATTTTTTAGACTTGCATTTGCGTTTGTAATTTGTTATTTTGTTTTCAGAATTGTGATTTGTTCTGCACTTCTTGGCCACCGTACGAAACTACTCTCAGCTAGCACGTCTTTTCAAAGTGAAAGTAGCCTTGTCACCTGACCTGAATACAGTGCACTGATTCACTAAAATGGACTTATCAGCTTTTGTTCAAAAACAACAAGGGCGCTTGTCAGCTTCTGCATTAAAACGTGAATTCGCAATGCCTTGAAAGTGGACAAAACTGGCTTTTTTGACAAAACGTGTTTAGGGTTCAGATCGAACTATATGTGGAGAATAATGCACGGCAATCAGCTCATTTTTTAAAAAGTGACGTTTATCGGTTTTTGCAAATGAACTCTTCATATATTACTGTTTTTGCTTTTTATTTTTAATTTAAAGAAAGATGTTCAGTCTGTTTTGGGTTCAGTTCCTGGACAAGCACAAGCCATAACCTAAATCACGGTAGGCTCCAAGGGTCATTCCTCTATCACTGTTACTTTTACTGATTAGCTCACAGCAATGCAGGAAACTGACAATTAAATTCTATAAAACTAAAGCCTGGATATGTGAGGAACCCTGGGGCCTTATAAAAATTCAGGGTGAACATTCCCTGGCTAGTTCAACTCATTACAGTGAAAAGTTGTTGAGTTAAAGGGGATCGTTTCTGAGATAGTGTGTCATTGTTTTGACAAATGGGATTGACCTTTCTCTCTCATACGCTCTCTTTCAGATACACTGGCCGGTTTCCCCACAGAGGAAGACGGAGTGTGTTTTAAGTGGCAAAGACACAAACGTGAGTGTCGTCTTTGCTTCTACTCCGCTCACATACTCTGATCTGGAAGGCCATGAAAACCTGAGAACAGCATTCCTGAAAATCGCTCAGCGCATCAAATTAGAGAAGTGGAGCTAAATGTTATCTGATTCCTCCAAGAATTATTCCAGACAGTGTTATAACAATATACACAACCCATTTTTCAGTTTACAGTTGGTTAACATTTGCTCGCGAGATATCTTTGTTTAGACATCTCAACTCATCTCGATAATTCCAGCCAGCACTCACTTATGAAACACTACAGTACATCTATGTGACATCTGTTTGTGGTTTGGATTTTAAGCTGTAAATGTCATTACAAATACACAGCATATATAAAGTTGTTTGGTCTGGGACAGGTCTACAGCCCTCAAGCTCAACAAAAAATATATGCTGATATAAATGAAGTGAAAGTGAGATATGCAGGTTTAGGAGTAGTGCTGAGGTCAAATATATGTGTTACAAACCTCAACCTTCCTGGTCAGAAACCACACACAAAAACATATGCATATTCAGAGAAGAAAAACAGATGCTAGATCCAGCGTGAGACGAACTCGAACCAGTCAAATTCCTAGATTTGTGAACATGAAATTGGACATGCGGTTTAGTGGTCTGGTAAAGAAACTGTGCATCACCTGAATGTCTGCACATCTGTGGGGTGCTGCATTTCATTTGGGGTGTTTTGTTGTGCTCTGGTATGGTACATAGTGTCAGTTTGGTTGTGGGATGTGATGGGTTTTAACCACAGTTCATGAATTATTAATAATGTTGAATGCACTTGCTGTGAAATGAATCCTCATGTAGGTTTTATGGGTACATTTCTGATTTGACTCTATTGAACTATTGAACGTAAAGTTGCTGAAATAAATGCCAGTACAGAGTTTAAAAACCTAGGAAATAATTGGATGCTTATTTTCATGTGATTTCCTATTAAAACAGGAAGTTATACATTTTTAAATGGGTGATAGTCTTTCATTTTCATTACAGCTATACAAAAGCATGATTAGCTGCCTATTGATACTCTAAGAATCAGGGACGCGGGAAGTAGGGGTGCTGAGGGGGCTGCAGCACCCCCTGTTTTCACATGGTTGCAAATGCAACGCCAAGTTTGTTCATTTAAATACATTCAGTTTTAGCATTTAATAATTTATTTGTAATGATCTCTGAAATGTAAATTGTAAGTGGGGCTATAATAAACCCATGTTTATCTTTATAAACATGATTAATTTTACTTGTGATGTTTTCTATATGGGATGATTAGCCTAATCCTCATGAACACGTGACGCTGGCGCGTGGTATCAGCCATGAACTATACAGAATGCGAACAAGATTATCTTTAATACAAGGAGATAATAGCGCAAAAGTGAATTTCAGATTTTTTTAAATGCCCATCCCAGCAAAAACTTTCCAAAATAGGCATCCAAAGTGCAAAAGTGAATTTCAGATTTTTTTTAAATGCCCATCCCAGCAAAAACTTTCCAAAATCGGCATCCAAACAACACCAGCCCCAGCACGAGCACCGACGTAAGTGAACCAGCCCCTTCCCCCCCCTTCACTCAACAAGGACACACACAGCACCCCCAACTGAAAACATCTTCCCGCGCCCCTGCTAAGAATGCATGTTTGTTGATGATATCCAAAATTTCGGGGCAAGATACTGATACTTATTTTCAGCAAGGATGCATTAAAATGATCAAAAGTTACAATAAATAAATGTATAATGTTACAAACAATTTCTATTTCAAATAAATGCTGTTCTTTCACACTTTTCTGTTCATCAAAGAAATCCTGAGAAAAATGTTTCACAATTTCCACAAAAATATTAAGCAGCACAAATCAGCTGAGCAGCATATTAGAAGGATTTCTGAAGGCTCATGTGACATGCAGAGTAATGGCTGCTAATTACATAGCATTTTAATATGTAAAATAAAATAAAATAGGAAAGTATTTTTTTTTTTATTGTAATAATATTTCACAATATTTTACTGTAGATTTGACCAAATAAATATAGCCTTGGTGAGCATAAGAGACTTCTTACAAAGTCTTACCAACCCCAAATTTTGAAAGGCTCTGTGTATCAAAACAAAATTAATAGAGCAACTGTGTCATAGTGAGTATTATCATAAACTATCAATGCTCAGTCTTCTACAGCCACTTTCTCTTTGGGGTCAACTACAGTGAAAGTGGAGCAACAAAGATAAAGTTTGAAATGCTGACATGTTTATAGCTAGCTACCCATATAGCTGATTGCATTGGTCAAACATTAGCATCTGTGTTTGCATACTGGCAAAGTATGTTTCTGGCATTGTTACAGTTCTTGTTTTTGGACAAACAGCCTCTGTATACTGCTGTCAAAGTTTTGATCTGTTTTCCCAGAAGTGTAGGACTAATTTTCAAATATTTACATCTGCCTAAAGTAAATTTTTTTAGCGTTAAGTGGAAGCATGTAGCATGTAATGCTAACACAACATAAAATCCAACCGACTGGAACTAAAAGCCACAATTTCACAGCTTTTTTTATATCTGGTCTAATAGCTCTTTTGTTCAGTCTGTCACATACATGTGTGAAAATAATTACCGTGATTGTTTCCTCTCTCAGGGCGAGTGTGGTAATTTCATCCGTCTGATCGAGCCGTGGAACAGGACACACTTGTACGTGTGCGGGACAGGCGCCTACAACCCAGTGTGCACTTATGTCAACAGAGGACGCAAACCTATGGTAAGAGTGGGTTAACAGGGCATGAGAGGTGTGTCTTAAACATAGTGGGTACACCTGGATACCTGTGAGGCACAGGTGTTCTTACTGTATTTATAGATATTCCTTTTCCAGGTTTCTCAACAAATCCATTACCGACTCTTACAGTTCATCAAGTGTGATTTCTCACTCACCGTCCCCCTGTGTCACCTCCTCTGCCGTTAAAAAACCCTCCAGGTGTTGGCTGGCATTCACCCTCACAGCTGCCTTCCCCAGCACGCTATAACTCTCTCTCATGTTTAGTCTTACTCTTTAATTGAAGAGCTTGAGTTTCTTCACTCTAGCCAGGCTAGACCACTGTGGACCCTCTTTGCCTTTTTAGGACCCTTGCTTGTGCAGCTAGCACTTTCGTCTCTCTAAATACAACACTTGTTATCTAATGACGGCCCAGGGACGTTTAAAGTGGAATTAATAGAAGTCGTAAGTTGGGAATCCAACCTTTTCTTTTTTTTTACACACGCACACGCTTATAAAATCACACCTAATCTAATGCTATAATTATTTTATCAGGTTATGAATTTCTTAATGGGATAGTTCACCCAGAAATGTAAATGTCATTTGTCTGTCATTGTTAATGCAACTTTGTCATTCAAAACCTTTAGCTAACTACAGCTAAAACCAAAATCATAAACCATTTTCAAGTAAAACCATTTTCGTAACTTGAAATAAAATAAATAATAACAGAAATAAAATGAAATATATATATATA